GAACAATTTTGTAATATTCAAATAGAAAATACAAGAAAAGAAAAATAAAGTATACTTTCTCCAAAATAAGTTAGTTAATGATTAATTCTTTTAATCTGAACTACTCACTGGTACAGTGAAAATGATCCTAATATTTTTAGCAGTAACAATCATTCCTAAATAAATAATAAATTGAAAAATTTCCTACATCTTTCTTACAGAATATCTCGACCAAAATTATGTCGCGAGAAAAATGGCTAAAGAAAAGCTACGTTTCACAAAGGACAACGAAATTGATCTAGGGATACTCGTGTTCGAGTGAAACTATCGTAAACGTTTTGTCAAAAGGAGTCACAAGGGAGCTCATGAGCTCGTTAAGCACGAACATTCAGAGAGAACGAAAGCGAATGATGGAAGAAACCAGCTTGCTGTATACATATACCGGCGATGGCTCACTTTTACTTTCTCTGTTCTGCACGAAACGCAAAACAGCGTCCGCGAGCCTGGTAAAAGCCGAAAGGAGACCGCTTTCCCTCTCGTCCTGTCTCAAGATATCGAGACGTGGCTACTCTCAAAATCCTTTGTGATTCATATCGTGGCGATGAATACTTTCAATTTAACGTGGATTCAAGGCACTTGTCATCCATCGTCCAGCCAGTAGAATGTGTTTTTTCGGCTTGAATTATTTGAAAGTCAGCAATTACATCCGTCTCATAGTAATAATAGGAAATCATAGTAATTGAAAGTTTCGTATAGCATGAAGGAAAACGAATAAACGAGCAATTAGTAATCATCCCACTGGTGGAACTAAACGTAGTATTTTTCTTTTCGCTCTTCAATTTTAATTTATTAGTTATTCTTACCTTTTTTTTTGAATTATCAAGTAATTTTTAGGAGAGGAAACAACAAGCATTTCTTCATAGGAAAAATGGGACTGTGCGTCTGTTAAAAGGAGCATCAAGAGTGAGGAACTTCCAATTTATAAATAAAATCTGAAAAAAAAATGTTAAGTGTGTAAATTAAAATAGTGATTTTAGAAAAATTGTTATTATATGTGTACCTAATATTACTATCGGTTTGAAAATCATTTTAATTATCGTACAATTGTTGCAACAAATGTGTTAAATTGAAATTTCCGAAGTTGATGAAATACTTACTGAATTCTTCAATGTGCAAATTATTATTACACAAATAATAATTCGTAAATAATATGTATACACTTAATAAAATACACTTTTAAAAATGTATATATATAGATATGTATGCAAATACTTTACCTAATTTCCAAGTATATATAAAACCTTAATACTGGTTTTTTCTCCAGTTTTTGTACAAGAATTTTATGCAATCTGATACTGTGTAATAATTGCAGATTACGTCGATCTTACCGTTTACATGTTTTATAAAATCACACCGACTTTATGTCACAATATAAATCTGTTAGTGTAATTTGTACTGAACGATTGCATTAATACAAATATCCATTTATATCCAGAAATTTAATTTCAAATTTAAAACGAATTTAATTCTAATGTTGAAATAATTTTTAAAGTTTCAAAGCTTTAAATACAATTAAATTTTAGATTAATAATCTTGGAATCTTAGAATCCATAAGAATTCTAAATATTTACATTTATTACCTGATGTATAAGTACAGCTTTCAATTTCTATGAAACTTGGAAATCGTTTTCCTTGCTCGTTACATTTAATGCCGTCAATTCCGTACTTTCAACCATTTAATTTGACGCCGATTAATTGCAAAAGGCAGAATGAATCAAGCCATTTTATGCGAATTTAAGTTTTTACCACGATTTTGAAACTTTAAGAAATACGAACAAGTTGTTTCTTTCCAATGAATTAATTTAAATTTTATGAATATTGTTAGCCATTTTTCGTATGCTATAATGAAATAATCGTGTTTGGTACAACAGAAAGTTCCTCTTCATTTTCTTTTATCTATAAAAGTTTTATCTGTAAATTTTGTAATTATAATCTTTCAAATTTCAAATACTTGAATGTATTAAAAATTAAACCAAAACACGTCACAATAGTAATAACTATGAAAATTTTCTCTTAATGTGAGTGAAATTTTCCACATTTTATCTAAGATAGGAAAACTTCGATCATTCATTTATTACTTATGTAACTGCGATCCCTTTTAACCTCTAAAACAATAGTAACACATAATGTACGTACGTACATTCGTACGTTCATTACGTAAATTCATCTTCAATTCTAGAAAAATTTCCTTTCTAATTAAATTTCTTAACTCTCATAAAAAAGAAAATATTAAAAGTTACTCAAATTTAACTAAAATTTGATTTATTGAAATCATATTTAAATTATGAAAATATTCAATTAGAAATATTTGGTTTCAGTTTCTACAAAAATTGTGTTTTATAAAATAAAAAAGTTTAAATAGGTTACCTATGTACATAGAATTCAACATCAATAACAATTATGACCTTCTCTATAAACAATTACTCATACTCAATGAACAAGATAAAGCTGGAACAGAGAGAACAGTATATTATCGTACAGAATAAAACAAAATAGTGTCGATGAAATTTATGCATGAGTAATTATATACCACGTGCAAGTAATTAATTTACATTAACATAAATAAATTCGAGGAAAAATCATCCTAATTCTCATATATTATCATGATTACATCACATATCGGGTCTGAAGTTCAACTGGCACATTTCATTCTACCCCTGTCTTCTTTCTTCTACAGCGGTGGAATCACTGAAGACGACGCTTCCCGGAGCAGGAAGAAGCATCGACATCGCGTAACACGAATCAGAGCAGAGCACTGACCTTGTTACTCTCCATATTTCATGAGACGGTTGCTACGTGATCCTCTTCTACAAGGAAGACATTTGAAATTGACATCGTGGATAATGAAATTGGCATAAAGAACTTTTCCTCTCAATTTTCTAAAAACTCATTACGGAAATTATACACATACTCTAATAAGAGACAGTGAAACTTAAGTATAATTACCGAATATAATTAACATAATATAATTATTTAATTACATATTGATGAATAATATCGATAATCGATTATAGATAAATGTGAAATTTTAAGGTTATACAATTATTCTAGAATTATATCAGAATCTAATCGAATCTTCATGGTCAAGATTTGTGCAGTAGTTACCGTTTGAGACTTTCTTTTAATATAATCCTAATTTTTGCCAATGTTGCAGCTCATTTCCTGAGAGGCCAAGTGACTCATGATAAACGCGTATTAAATTGCCATAAAAACGATGAGATAACATTCCTGATAGATATGGTTTTTATCTGAAGGGCAGGAACAGTAATGAAATGTTCATGTCAGTTCTGTTGCGAAATTCATCTTAGTTAAATCGATGTATCATTGTATCAAATAAATTAACAATTATATAGGAATGGAAATTTATTTAATTTAAAACCTGTCTAAACATTGAGAATGACAATAATCCCTTTTTAAAAATTCTACTCCTTAATAGTATTTCATAAACAAATATAAACTTTATCATTTGATAAGTACATAACTAAACAGAAAAATATTTATTCCCGAACAAAATTATCTTGTGATATTATTGACTTTCTAAAATATATTTTTATCTAATTAATATTATAATGCTAAACGATCGAAATAAATAGAAATATATCAAACTTTCGTCTCGATTAAATATTTTTTTTTAATCATTGTACCACTATTCAAGATCTAATCTAGGAATAAGTAGACACTTAACATCTATAAATCACGATAGATGTCTCTTCAGTGTCACAATTGGAATATTTATTTCGATCGACTTCCTTGTTGACATCGAAGCTTTATCTGTTCGAGAGTGGTCCAGCAAACTTCATGCACAAACGATAATCTAAAATATTTTTTCGACATAATAAAAAGTTATACTAACAACTGTTATCGGAATGACTTAATTATTCTGCAACAAATTCCAAGCATCATACTTGTAAGACGAAGTTTTCAGAAGACAGATAATTCACGGAATGTCGGGGTCAGTGTACGCTACGTCCGTCTATGTACACCATAGCTTGTATACTATACGAACAGAAGAAAAGCAGAAACTACAAGAAGCATGGATGCTTCTATATACATAAGGAACATAACCAGCGGTTACTCATCACGGCTTGTTACAATTACGAAATGCAACATTACATTGTACTACGCGTTCTTTTAACTATTTACGAATCTACTGTTCTTTACTCTTATGTTCATTTCTTAGGCGACGACTATAAAACGCCGTGTGCAACAACTGTGTCTAAAATAAGAATTAACCAGAAGCCAACAGTCAGCCAAAAAATCCCGAGAATTAGAGGCGTAACTGGCCGCTGACATTTCGCCCTTAACCATGCGATATTCATGACTAACAAGCAGGACAAATGATAAAGGAGAAGGAGGCCACAGAAAAGGACTATAAAGAAGAAAGACAAAGAAACTCGAAGCGAATATACATATGAAAGACGCATCACGAGATGACTAATAACACGTTTGATATACATACATATATACAAACATATATGCGCAGCTTTATCTCTGAGGGAAAGGAGAGGAAGGCGAATACAGTTATGTTAGCGGCACTTTGATCCACAAATGTACCACGTGTTCAAGCAAGACGCAGTTCCGACTCTAGTGTTAGATATCAATTAAAATTTGGTACATTAACACGCTAAAAGGTGATATTTTTAGATTACACGTTCAGTAAGAGAAGAGGATTTCTACAGATTCTCCACGCATAAAAATAAAGCACACATTATACATATTTAACTTTAATATCGTCATAAACTTCTCGACAAAAGCTATTAGTTTTTAATTTACCAATTTCTCTTCCTCTTCTAGATAACCAACTTTTATACCAGTAATTTTAAACACCTATATACGCACTATAGCAATACAATTGAAATAATTTAAAAGAATTTGCATAATTGATAAACTGTTTACACGAGAGTCTTCCTTATATAGAATTCTATACTTCACGATCTAATTACCTATCAGTGCTAGCAGTTTCATGGAAAACTACTGCCTACTCACAAAGTATACAAAAAGATCCCAATAGAGCAGACCAAATGTTAGCGGACCAAACGTCTGCATTTCAACGTTTGGGAACAATAGCTCAGAAGAACAAGTGACGTAGAGTCGACGAGCTCAGATCCAAGTCCAGCGATAGACGTAAGTGAACCACCAGTCACAGTTCTGCTTGCCGCCCGCGGAGAGGGTTCAAAAGAGAACGGAGCGGTGGACTACGAGAGACGTGACGAGCAGTCGCCAGCTGGTAGCCGGTCTACGTGGATCGAGCAGTCTTGAGTAGAGTGAGCGTCTCTTTTTCTCCTACGTGCATACACAGTCGTGCACACGCAAGCTCTTCAATCGCTCTGATCCGCGCGATAATCGTGTGCTTCTTGACTGGTATTCGCAGTGAGGAAGAGACGTGAAGAGGAAGCGGTCGCCACCGATAATACCACAATGAGTAACTGTCGTCGTTGATGAACGAACCAATATCGAAACAATTGTTTCGATTAAACGACGTTTAAACAAGTTTTCTACATCACGCTACGCTCTGATGAGAGCGTGTCTTTGACAGGATGTCGTCGGTGTTTTCGAAATTAATCGACGCGACGTCTACCAAATACGGTATCAACAAGAACCAGCTGATCCGTGGTGTAGTTGGCGTCGTGGGCACGCTTTATCTCATTAGGATCGGTTATCCGTTCGTAACTTTTGGTATAAAACAATACCAAAAGAAGAAGAAAGTAAATGAAAATAATATTGAAGTGCCGAAGCGGTGTAAAAATAATGTCAATAATATTGAAAGTTGCAAATCGAACCAGAAAGTCGGGAAACCAAGTGTGGGTTTGGACCGGGAGTTCATTAAACAGCTGATCGCGCTGCTGAAGATCATGGTTCCCGGATGGAGAACACGCGAAGCCGGATTATTGACATGTGTCACTGTGACGCTTTTAGCTAGGACATTTTTGTCGATTTATGTAGCCACTTTGGAAGGTCAAATCGTGAAGAGGATCGTGTTGCGAGATGTTCGAGGATTTTCCTTGATGCTCGCGAGATGGTTTGCGATCGCTTTACCCGCGACTTTCGTTAATTCGGCTATTCGATATTTAGACGGACGATTGGCTCTTAGCTTTAGGTATTTACATGGACATTATCTTGATATGTGTTTATATTATTGAAAATTTATAAACAAGTGTCAAGTTTCTCTCTTGTTTTTAAAGAGGACGCCTGGTGGATCATGCTTACAAAATGTATCTGAGTCAACAAACTTACTATAGAGTATCTGCATTGGATACTAGACTTGGAGATGCTGAACAAAGACTGACAGATGATTTATCTGAACTGGCTAGTTCTGTGGCACATCTGTATTCCAGCTTAACCAAACCATTGTTAGATTGTGCTTTAGTGTGCATTACGCTTATTTCATTTTCTTCCAAGATAGGAGGGCCAAGAATACATGGTAATATAATAAAGAAACTATGAAATGTGTGAATAAGAATAAAGTATTTGGTAGAAAAGTAAATTAAGTGATGTACTAATATATATTTGAATTTCATTTGCATTGTTTTCTAGGACCATTGTTATCTTGTTCGGTAATTGCCATAACTGGACAGATTCTACGTCTTGCATCTCCCAAATTTGGCCAATTAGTGACTGTAGAAGCATCGAAACGTGGAACATTAAGAGAGGCACATGCTCGCATCAGTGCACATGCAGAAGAAATTGCATTCTATGGAGGTCACTATAGGGAGCATCGATACTTGACCACTGCTTATAAATCTCTTGTTTCACACTTAAAAAGAGTACTAGTTCTCAAATTTTGGTATGTGATGTTAGAACAACTACTTATGAAGTATGTATGGTCTGGTACTGGACTTTTAGTTATTGCCATGCCTCTTCTTTATACTTCAATTAAATCAGGATCTCCAGTCTTAAGGAATAATGCTGATGGTACGTAAATGATGATATAAAACTTGTAATGTGCAAAATAGTAAATAATAGAGCTATTTTTTCATAAATAGATGGAGTGAGTGAAAGAACTAGATACTTGACAACTTCTAAAAATCTTTTGAGTTCTGGTGCTGATGCCGTAGAAAGGCTCATGTCATCTTATAAAGTAAGATTTAATTTAATGGCATTCAAATATTTTAAAAATAATATATGTTTATAATAAATTTTATTTACTATAGGAATTAGTAGCATTAGCAGGATATGCAGCACGAGTCAGTGAAATGTTAAATGTATTTAAAGATGCTGCATTATGTAAATATAGAAGAAATATTGTTAACAGTCCATTAAAGATAGCAAATGGTACACCTAATTTCGCTATAAGTGACATAATTGAATTAAAGGATGGAATACCAGTGATAAAAGGTAATCTTCTACAAATATGTAAAATAACAATACTTTGAGCAAGTGCATATCAATAATAACATGTAAACAACATCTGTAACAGGAATTGTGCGTGAAAGTACAGATGGTAGTATAAGTTTAATCGATGTGCCAATAGTTACACCAAACTGTGAAGTTATTGTACCTAGATTAACTATTCATGTAGGTATTAATGAACTTTTTAAACTATAAATTATCAAACAAGAAAAATTACTAACAAATTGCTTTTTCTTTTGCAGATAAAACCAGAGGATCATATATTAATTACTGGTCCTAATGGCTGTGGAAAGAGTTCTCTATTTCGTATAATTTCTGGCTTATGGCCAATATATGGAGGCACGTTAATAAGACCAGCTGAAAATTATTCTGCTAAACAAGGAAGACCTGCCCTATTTTATATCCCCCAAAAACCTTATATGACTGTTGGTTGCTTGCGCGATCAAATCATATATCCCACAGAATCACGAACAGATGTAGGTTCCGACGAAGAACTACTCAAATTACTAGAAGAAGTTGATTTACGAAGTCTGGCAGAAAGAGAGCCGGAAGGACTTGATGCTTTTGCTGACTGGGACTCTACGTTATCTGGTGGTGAAAAACAGAGACTCGCAGTAACGCGTTTATTTTATCACGCGCCGCAGTATGCGCTGTTAGATGAATGCACCAGTGCCGTAAGTCTTGAGGCTGAAAGTGTGATCTACGAAACTGCCAAAAGAAAAGGCATAACGCTATTAACTATTACGCATCGTGTGGCTTCCCTCGCAAAGCATCATAAATTACTGTTACGCTTCGACGGAGAAGGTGGTTGGACTTTCGGTCCGTTAGACGCAGAAAGTATATCGCATCTAACAAATCAAACTTATGAAGAAACCGAAGAACATGAAGTGAAAGGAGGCCACTATCAGATGTTACATGTACGTTCGCGCATCCTTTTCTATTTTTTTGATATAAAACGAGTAACCATGTTGCAACGAGTATATCTTAAATATATTTTGGTACTTTTTGCTTACAGGAACTCCATGACATCCACAAGGAGGAAACGAAAATTGGAATTAGTTGAAAAAAACAAAGCAAGACGAATTATTTTGTTATTGCTCTAGTGAATTTATGTAGAAATTTGTGCAATTGTAAATAGATTCCCAATAATGCGTTTTGTACAGTTGTTCACAACGGTTTCTAAGTACATACTCTATTTTTGTATGAGTAAACATCACTATTTAATAATATGAAATATAAATAAATGTTATTTGAATATCTATATCGTAATATTTATTTTTTATTATCTATATCAATGACAATCCAAAAATAAAAATGTTATTTCTGCTCATAGCTTAATTTACACTTAATGTCTTATGACATAAATCATTAGACTTTTTGCTTTGGATATGAATATTATCGTCTTTCATAAATCTCTTAATGTTCTCTCAATTTAATATTTTTTTTCTTTCCATATAAATTTCCAATTAGATTTATACACGTTTTGAAAGTCATGTTCAATTGAAATATGTGAATAATAAATCATATAGTAGAAAAAAATTACAAATTATTCGAGAATAATGTAAGAATAAATAACTAATTGGTCATTAAAATAATAAAATCAAAATATAAAATTTATAATAATAATGAAATGATGTTATCGTAATTTTGTATTTCTTAAAAATTCTTGAAAATTTAATAATCATTATTAAATATATAATCATATACATTCACTAATAATGAATGCATATATATATATATATTTCATATGTGTTTAAAACGATATATTATATTATTCCTTATTTATTACATTTTATAAATAATTTAAAAAGTTTGGAAAAACGACGAGCGCTATAAAGATGCGGCAAAGTTCGTGAAATAAAGAGTCAAGTGGAATAAATTTATACTTAACAACCTTTACAACATGATTTATAATCTATGCACAAATGCCTTTCTTATCGACCCGTGGAAAATAACCTCAGATTATCAAAACGAATCATTATAATACCAATCTGTCTACAGCATGATCTTTGCTCTTCTCAAAAATATTTTTCTTTAAATTTATTATCAAGAATGCTTTCAAAATATACATCTAATCGAAAAAATCTCAATATTGGTACAAACAGGAGAGAAAAGGAAAACTAGACAAAGGTTAAAAAACGGAATTCAGCGAAGCAAATGATATAAGAATGAAAGTGAGTGATCGTAAAGAAATATAGCACGAAGAGAAGAGAGGGAAGAAAGGGCGCGAGGACGGTATAGGTTGGGTCGCGATTAAAATCCGGATCGTGGATTAAACTACCTTTAGCGACGGTGCAGCTGTGGGCAGTAGCGTGTCGTGGTGCGCACATTAATTTGTGCCGGACAAAAATTTAATTACGTGTGTTTCTTTGTTTTGAAGGGCCAGCAAAGGCGGCGGGGGCGATGCCAGGGGAGGGAAGACCTACAATTTCCGATGAGCTTACCTCTGGGAAACCCTGCAAACGCCAAACGTCGATACGCCCGGGAGCAGCCATCTTGGGGGGTTGTATACCTCTCTGCGACGTTCGAGCTAATGCTTTAAAGCAATTCCAGAATACTGGCGCAATTAGACGCGCCTCTCGATTCTCTGCATTATTCCAGTGATGCAATAGAACTCGTCTCCTCTTTTTGTTTATAGTATCATATTTTCTTAACGTTAGAATAGATTGAATTACTTGATTAGTTTAATCGAAGAGATTAATAATACCTGAAGCTTTAGAAAGCGTCTAGTTTGTTGCGTATGAGTTTCCGTCTAGTATGTTTTACGTTTTATAGGTTAAGTCACTCAGGGTTGTTTTAATGAAGCGGATGTTGTATCAAATAGGTGAATAAGTCAATTAAGTATTGAATGTTGATTATAGATTAGAATTATATATATAATTCCTAAATTTTATTTTTAGGTGTTATTAAAAATCTTAAGCTCCGTACGATTTAATTATTTCTATGCAGAATATCATTACATAGACATCTCAACGATTTAGATATGATAAATATGATCTTTTTCTATATTTTCACAATTTTCTAAATTACATTAAGAAGAAATATATAACTGTTTGTTGGTACTAAAATTTCTATAAATAATAGTTCAAGAAAAGAATTCACAAACTTCATTAAAACACAAAACTTACACCTGAAAAACGACTGTCAGTGTATCAATAGCTACAAAAATAACCTGATTTGACATTGCAATCACACAAAGAAACCTAAAATAAGATACTAAAGTTCACAATTTACAAAACCACTAATTAACGACTACCATTTACAGAATACATAAATTCATCAACCCCTGGTCAACTCAAATATGAAACCTCGATTTCTTCGATGTTCAAATCACTCAGACATCCCTTCCTTTGCTGTTTATTCAAAAACGAGCGACCATAGGCGACTATTCTTAGCTAAGAGCGCAGTTGCAGGCGGCAATTTGAAACATCCTCGGCTGGTATCGAGTTTCGTATTTTGAGAAAGGGTTGAAGAAAGACGCGACCGCATCTGTCTGTCCGAGCCGGCTAAGAAAATACGGTAAGAATCATCGGGATGATTAGCGAAAGGAGCATGAGCCTGGCTGTTCGTAACAGTTTCCTCGAGGATTAAAACCTTGTCCACTTTCCAGCCCGCCCCCTCGCTGTTCCTCGTCGTCGAAATAGCCGATTGAATTACACGCGGCGCGTGCCAGCCGGCCGCCACCGTCACCGCATACGCCTGAAGATCTTCACTGGAATAAAGAACGTAATAAGCCACTATCCGATCACTATCTTGTCACCCGATGGGATTTCTAGCGACAAAGAGGTGGTACCTTGCAAATCTCCCGACGACGCGGTTTTGTAGTCATTGTAGCCTTTTGTATAGTCAGATGTGATCTTTGAGGAGAGGAGAAAAGGGCCGACTATTTTTCTCAAAAACTGTTAGGGAGGGAGGATATATATATGAGAAAATGGGACACTTAGTGGACTAAATAATGTAAGGAAAAATATTGACGATTGACTGCTAATTTCAAGTTAATTTATTAATTCATTAGTATTATATTTTGTTTAATATATCCAACATATTAAAGAATTCTTTATAAGTCATTGTCAATATGAGCAATGGAATAGCCTATTTCAAGTGAATATCATACAGTATTTATAGACAACGTTTTATCAAATTTTTTATCAAGTTCTTTATCTGGCCCAAATATTTAAAGTCATTGTTTTGGAAGTTGGAATATTGGTATTTTTGTATTCGACTGATATAACTTCGTCACGCGTTCGACTCAATTACATATCTCTATCTCTACTTATAGTCTACCGATTCGTCTATAGTTTGTCCAAAGAGACGAGCCAAAAAATAAAGCGTAATTGACACGTGAGCTGGTCAGGGTCTGCACACAGTTTTAGATACCCCAAAATATAAGAAATTGAGAAGCTACTTGTTCGCAAGAGCTCTAGGTAAAGGACTGCTGCGAATTTAGCCCTGAACGGTGGTTACTTAACTGCAGGTATGTAGGAGAACTGATATATAGAGCGATACGCTTCAATCAAAGAATTATTTTTATTAAAACAAAGAGTTAAAGATATTTTGGAAAATTGGATCTCTGCTAATAGACAATTATCTTTGTTTTTGACAGATAAATATGGAATAAATCCTGAGAAGAAGATATGTTAAAAGAAATTACATAAATATTAACTTTTTTTATTAAATCACTAATCATAAAGTACGTGACTTCAATAATGCGGTAGTTCCAGTTAGAGGTTGGACCCCGCCATTTTCTAATTACACAGTGTCTGAAAATTACTTCAGCCGCAAGAGGTGGTTCGCCGCAAATGTAATTAAGCACCCGTGACGTATTTAGTAACATCTCGATCGTTCAAAGCTGGTTTTATCCCAGCACCGAAGATTATCCGATGTGCAATCACTTTAGCGAAGGGAGATGGTACCAGTGGGAGGAACTTTTGATCGTGAACAATACCATCACTGTCATCTCATCACGAGGGTTAATCATTCAACTTTGAATCGCGGCGATGAACACGTTTCCTGCTCGTATGTTGGCCTACACCGCCGGTTAGGATAGTTATCTCGACTAGAGTGGAAACGATACGTTGATACATGATGTACGCGATCAGGAGCAGGAAACTGGGTTATACCTCGTTGGAACAGGGACCAAGCGTTTAACTGTAATTTGTACTTGAGAGCGTAATTCGAATGTAAAGTCATTTCAAAGGTTTGTTGTCTCAAAGAATTGCCTGTATAAAATGGAAGAGTTTGATTCATCAAAATGATCCGGTACATTTATCAAATATAAATTCATAACTGGGTAATAATTCAAGCCAATGTTACGTGTCATTTAATATATCGGGAATCAACAATTTCGATAACAGCAGCTTACGTTTTCATTTTAGTTAGTTAAACAATTCAAGTATCAATTTGTCTCAAATTTGTCTTCAATTAAAATTGCTTTATTCCTTAAAAATATTTCGCTCTTTGTACAAGACAGACTGATAACTTTGAAACTTCTTCACTTGTTCAAAGGATCATTGCGTTCTTGATTCAACACAACCATCCTATTTGCACCATTGCATTTACTTTATTTTATCATTACCAGAACAGTTCGTTTATAAAAACTATTATCATATTTTCAGTTTCTCGGATCCAAGTGAGTCACTGCGATCGGCAAGAATCTTTTTCCCATAAGGAAACGTAAATCCGGTTACAAGAATTAACACATCTCCCTATGAACCATGACCGTGTTTGCAGAAAGTATTTACGAAAGTATTCACCGAGTAAGTGGTGATTGTCGATGCAACCCGGTCTACAGGGTCACCTAACGTGCACACGTGATCAAGGCGGATATGCAATGTACGACGCGTGTTTACTTCTACCATCGCTGGTAGAACGATCGCGAGAATGTAATCGCCTCTTTGATTTCAGGTGCGAGCAAACACAGGTGTGGACGCAATGCTCCCTCGAAGAGGGTGGAAACACTGATTCTGGTTACTATAGATGCTATCTGCGCCCTTGAATCGACGATCTGAGATTGGGAAATTGAGCGTGAACCTTCGATGCAAATTCTGTGGTTATATATCTCTGTTGGGTATCGGTCTTATATATAACAAATTTTGAATTTTGAATAATGGATTGGGGTAATAATGAAACGATGCGAATG